CATAACAAGTACCATTTATTTATTGTTCCTATTAATTAATTAAAAGATTCATTCGGTTCAAAACATGTTCCATGCACTTGTTGTACTAAATTATATAGGTTTGATCAGATTAAGGTGTTTAAGTGTTAATTAATTATTGGAATATTGTTGTAATTATTTAAATGTTGTTTTTTTTTTCTTTTTAATTTCCAAGAATGCAGAAATATATATACATAGTAAAGGTTATGTTTGTCCTATTGAAAACACACATTAAATGGGTATAAGTATGTAATAATTACTTTTGCACAGCCTTCAAATAACGACATGCTCGTTGGAATTTTAATGTAGCCCACGAGTCATGCTGCTGTGGCTTATTTTGCTTTTCGTTTTTTTTTTTCCCCAAAAAATAATAATTAAATCAATTTAATATTCCAAGTTTGCCTAATCAAATCTTTAAGAATATATATTTTCATAAATAAAATAAAAAATATATATTATGTTAAATTACTCGAATTTCGAGAAATTTCATTGCTTACTTAATGAAATAACATTAACTAATAACACCTTCAATGATCATATAATATGATGGTCGATGAAGTTTACGTTGAATATACATACTATGAATCATCTTACACGTACGTCCATACTTACGGTGTCAAATTTAAAGAAATCTTTCTAAATCGTGTAGAATATTATTCAGTTTGTACTCGTTTTACCTCATTCGAGTTCCACATATTGACATAACTGGTGTCACTTAAAAAAAGTTGGGGCAATTTCGTAACTTGCTCAATTAATCAATTTTTATTTTTTTTTCAATTTGGAAAATGGAATTGCATGCATTATTGTTGGTTTCATTACCAAACAGAGAGTGTAACAAAATGTACAAGAGTTTATAACACTTAGGAAACTGCTCAATAACCAGATTTGAACAATGGTACAACACCCCTTGTCTTCCCCAATTTACTATACAAAAAAAAAGCACCACAAGCATGCTTCCAGTCAAACTACTTTTTTTTTTTTTTTAAATATATATATTTTTATTATTTTTCTTTTAAACTCCTAAAATAAGTTTTGATAAACAACAAAACACACACACTTTATCCAGACGACATCGTTTAAGCTCTTGTCTAGTAGCCAATAGTAGCTAGTAGGTACCTATTACCTAATTACTGTGTAGTAGCAGCTCCAGAAAATTTGTATGTATATTTTTGTACTTACTTTCTGTGAAATGACCAGTGATGCATTGCTGGAGAAATCTATGCTAAGATTTTGCAATTTCTCTAATTAATTCAATTTAAATAATAATAAATAAAAACTTTGTTTAAAGAAAATCTAATGGTACTGGGACAAATTTAAGACACAGCATCAGTCCAATTGATTGGATACATCATCATATATTATTATATTATATATGGTATTAATTCTTGGCTCTGCCTTAATAAATTCATGTATCATTAAAGAAAGGGTACGTGTAGTATTGGTTATTACACCTACATCCCTAATGTGGGCTAAAATAACTTTAAAGTACATGTAGTGTTGGTAATTACAGTAACACCCCTGAAGTAATTACGGAGGCCAAAATTTTATGTTTTGGGAACCGATATGCATAATATTAGTTTCGCGCGGGTCCGTTAATGTTTCTATAGACGAAAATTTATAAATTCGATTTAAGAAATGTTAGGAAAGCCATGTGACCCACTAACTCTATGTTATCTCCATCATTGTCTGAAAGTAATAGTCCGTTGGAACATTAACGAAATAACTTATCCAAGTTATCCGATTAGAATTTCTAACAATGCAATGCAGTTGTAATTTACCCTTAAACAAAATTGACTATCAAGTCAAAGTGCTTTCATTTTTTCTAATCTGTCACCATAATAAGTGTTTTGTTGTCTACACTCTACACCCAATTAAAATCTAAGATTATTTATATATTTAATTATTATAATAACTATAATTATTACATACAAAACACATTTACGTAAATAAACCCTTAGAATAATAATTGGGTAAATTACAACTACCCTCCTGAGGTATTATTAAATTATGAAACAACCCTTCTTATTTGAATAATTACATCTACATCCTTAATTATGAATTTTTTTAAACCTCCACCCTTATAACTCTAATTTCTTAATAAACATTGAATTATAATTATGTAATTTTTTTAAAAAAAAAAAAAGGGTAAAAAGGAAAAGGGGGGAAGTAGGAGGAAAAAAAAAGCAAAAGAAAATGTCTTTCTCGAGCACAGATCCCAATGGAATGAAGGAAGCAACGATGCCCAGCATTATATTTCTTGCTGCTGTGTAACTCATTCCTTTTGTTTTTGTTTAAAACCCTTTATTTGCTTTTTCTCTGCTTCTCTTTTTTCATTTCTAATCTTTTTAGAGAGAGAAAGCGGAGAGAGAGAGAGATTGTGGTTTAATTAATTTGGATTATATATATTAATATTTCATCCTACTACTTAAGTCTGCAGCGCATAGAGCTACACAACAAAACATAACTCATAAGTTTGTTTTCGATAAAAAGAAAGAAAGGAGAAATCTTTGCCACCATGATTAGTTTATTTGTTTCCAATCATTGACTTGCTTTCTTCCGACAACTCAAATTTCAAAACAAAAACCAAAAAAAAAAAAAACTTATATCTTTTTCTTGTAAGAAAAGAAAAAATGAAGTCCATGAGTGAAGAAAACAGCAACAACTGGTTGGGTTTTTCTCTTTGTGCAGGTTCGAGCATGGCGGAGGGTTCATCATCCGAAGCTGTTAATGAAAATCATACTGCTAATTATTTTTCTTCTTCTTCTTCTTCTTATTATCCTGGGATTTATTACAATGGTGGTGGTGTTGATAATGGCGGAAATGGCTTTTACTCGCATTTAACGGTTATGCCGCTCAAATCTGACGGCTCTTTGTGCTTGATGGAAGCTATCAACAGATCACACCCACCAGGTTTTTTGGTTTTTTTTTTACTATTTTTGAAGTTGAAGAATATGCTTACATTTTGACTTTTTTTTTTTTTTTTTTTTTTAAACCAGCTCCGAAATTGGAGGATTTCTTTGGTGGTGCTACAATGGGGGCCCATCACCACCACTACGAGGGTTGTGACGGCGGCGGAGAAATGGCTCTAAGTTTAGACAGCATGTACTATCACCAAACCCACACCCACAACGGCGGCGCCGGCGGCCATGATTTTCTCAACTCCGGCGGCGGCGGCGGCCACCAGCATGTACTTCAGCTTCAAGAGTACGCGAACTACTCACCGTTTCGAGGCCAAGAAGATATTAATTACCAGGCGGCGGCGGCGGCGACGACGAACAAAGAACACGGCCTTCAGGTGCCGACGACAATGGCGGAGGAAGAAATATCCGCCATGAAAAAGTGGGTTTCGAGAAACTACTCGAACAACTTGGAGGACAATGCCGGAGAGCCCGGGCTGCCGCCGCCGGCGGCGGCGACGTTGGGCTCGATGGGATACAGTGATCTACAGTCTCTGAGCTTGTCGATGAGCCCCGGTTCACAGTCGTCGAGCTGCGTCACCGCCGGTTCGCAGCTCGTTCCGGCCGCCATGGGTGCTGATTGCGCGAGCTTCGATACCAAGAAAAGGGGACCCGATAAAGTTGACCAGAAACAAGTCGTTCATCGGAAATCTCTCGACACTTTTGGTCAACGAACTTCTCAGTACAGAGGCGTCACTAGGTATATATTTACATTTTTTATTTATTTTTTAATTTTTTTTAAATTTTAATTTATTTAATGAATATTCTTAATATGGGTTTTCAGGCACAGATGGACTGGTAGATATGAAGCACATCTATGGGACAACAGTTGTAAGAAAGAAGGCCAAAGCAGAAAGGGGAGGCAAGGTTTGTAATTAATCACACATTTCAAGATTAATTAGTCAATGTTAATCATTATTATTACCTATTTTAGTTTTGTTTTTTATTTTACTAATCAATTAATTAATCTTGTCCTAATTGTTTCTTTGTTCCCCCCTGCAAAATCTTTTGTTTCTGTGGGAATGCAATATATAAACACCTCTGCAGTTTACCTAGGTAAAAACTTATTTTCTTTCTTGTTTTGGTATTATTATTATCCACTTTTTTATTATGCATATATATAAATATAATTATTGAAGTATATGAATCTTGATTTACAGGGGGGTATGACATGGAAGAAAAGGCTGCTAGGGCTTATGATTTGGCAGCACTCAAATACTGGGGACCTTCTACCCACATCAATTTTCCTGTAATTCTTTTTTTTTTTTTTTTTTTTTTTATTTAAATTATTTTTTTATTTGACATATTAAAAAAAAAGTCAAGAAATATAAACCTAATTCATTTAAAATGCAGTTGGAAAATTACCAGCAAGAACTTGAAGATATGAAGAACATGAGCAGACAAGAATATGTAGCTCACTTAAGAAGGTTCCATTCTTAAAAGATCTTTGTTTGTTTTTTTTTTTAATTATTGTTTTTTCACATTTAATTTACATTTTTTTTAATTAAATAAAATTAATTGCAGGAAAAGCAGTGGGTTTTCTAGGGGTGCTTCTATTTACAGAGGAGTAACAAGGTCTTAATATACTGCTTAGTAATTATTTTATTTAAATTAGTATAGAATTATTATTTGATCTATTTGTTGCAAAATCTGAGTTTCTATAATGTTTCTTTAGCAGACATCATCAACACGGGCGCTGGCAAGCCCGAATCGGCCGTGTGGCCGGAAACAAAGATCTTTACCTCGGAACTTTCAGTGAGTTTAATTTATCATTAATCATTAATCATTTACTAATGGATGCTTTATTCATGAATTAATAAATTTAATAATTACGTTATTAGGCACCCAAGAAGAAGCGGCCGAAGCGTACGATGTGGCGGCCATCAAATTCCGAGGTGTGAATGCGGTCACGAACTTCGACATCACCCGTTATGACGTGGACAGGATCTTGGAGAGCAACGGGTTACTCTCTGGTGAAATGGCGAGGCGCGTTAGCAAAGCCCTGACTTCTTCCTCGTGCAGTACTGAAAATGCGTTGATGAATAATGTGGGGCCCGCCGTCGGAGATTTTAAAGATGGGGGTTATTTGTCTGCGGTTCCGGAAAGTACAATGAGGAACGGTACAGGCTTGAGCAGCAGCTCTAGAGAGAGTCCCACTAAAAACATGGTTGTCGTTCCGATGCAGTTTGCTTTGCCTGCTCCGTTGAGTAACGCGGGCCAGTGGGGCCCGTTGACCGGCCCGATTAGGAGTCAAGTGCCGCTTTTTTCTGCTTGGACTGATGCTTCTTGATGTAGTAATTAATTCTTGGGGGAGGAAAAATTTGGGAAATGGAAGTTTATTTAAAAAAATTAGTGGCGGGAATTAAATTGATTAAGGGGTTTATTTAAATTTTGTGTTTTGGTGGGGGGTTAGGGGCTAAATATTATTTCAAGAATGTTCCAAAGTGTTTTATGAAATTAATGATTTTGGGCTACCTCGGAATATTCTATTCTTGATGTCACGTTTTTTTACCCGATTATTCTAAGATCGGATTTCACCTGAAAATACCTA